ATATGTAATACTTTAAACAATAAAGAATTTTTAAAAATAAAATAAAATAAAAAAGAAAAATGGCAATAAATCATAGAACCTACTTCATGTGACTCTTTTTTTTTAATTAAATTTTTATTGTTCAGATTACATTTGTTCCTCTTTCCCCCCCATAACTCCCCTCCTTCCAGTTCCCGCCCCACCCTCCGCCCTCACTCCCCACCCACTGTCCTCATCCATAGGTGCACGATTTTTGTCCAGTCTCTTCCCGAATCTCCCATTCCCCTTTCCCCCCCAAGAATAGTCAGTCCATTCCCTTTCTATGTCCCTGATTCATTATAATCACCAGTTCATTCTGTACATCAGATTATTTATTCACTTGATTCTTAGATTCACTTGTTGATAGATGCATGTTTGTTGTTCACAATTTGTATCTTTACCTTTTTCTTCTTCCTCTTCTTAAAGGATACCTTTCAGTCTTTCGTGTAATACTGGTTTAGTGGTGATGAGCTCCTTTAGCGTTTCCTTATCTGTGAAGCTCTTTCCAGGATTAAATGATGTCAAGTGTCCAAACGCTCAATATCTGATAAATTTTTTATAAATATATTTAATACTTTCCTGTTGACATAAAAGATGTAGGGGATCTGAATAAAATGACACATCAGAAAGTGAAATCGTCATGCTTGCATCACCAGCACTTATACTACAATTAGAACAATACAGAGGAGAGTATCATGGACTTGCCTGGCCAGGTGGCTCAGTTGGATGGAGCGTTGTCCCATACACCAAAAGTTTGTGGGTTCAATTTCCAATCAGGGTACATACCTAGGTTTTGGGTTCAATCCCCAGTAGGGGCACACATGGGAGGCAACCAATCGATGTTTCTTCTCTCTCTCTCCTTTCCCCTCTCTCTAAAAATCAATAAACATATCCTCAGATGAGGATTTTAAAAATGCTTTAAAAAAAGATTATCATGACCCCTGCGCAAGAATGACACACAAATTCATGGAATGTTCCATATTTTCTATTAAACATTGAGTTTTTAAATCTTCTATAAACTGATTTACAAATCATTTTTCTATTGAAAAATGTTTTTAAATGGCATTTACTCACAACACAAACAACTAATTTTAAATCTGGATAAGTTTATGTTGTCTTTCTGGTTTTTTGCACCATTAAGACAATAAGGTGCTTTCTTTTGCAATTGTGTATTTACTTTATTTGGTATTACCTAATTACAATTTTGAAAATAGAAAAAAATAGAAAATTAAAATGTGCATTAGATTTCATATATATATATATATGTGTGTGTGTGTGTGTGTGTGTGTGTGTATTTTTTTTCTTTTTTTCAGAGAGAAAGGGAAAGGGAGAGAGAGATAAAAACATCAATGATGAGAGAGAACCATTGATTGGCTGCCTCCTGCATGCCTCCAACTGGGGATCAAGCCCACAAACCAGGCATGTACCCTGACCCGGAATCAGTGGCCTCCTGGTTCATAGGTCGACGCTCAGCCACACCTGCCAGGCTCCAGATGACTTTTTAAGGCACATAGAGTAAGAGAGAGAAGTAAAGGACGGAGACGCAGGCCTCACAAACAACTAGAGTTCATATGAAATAGAAAGTGTGCCACAAAAACCATCCAAAATAAATGCAGTTCCTAGAGGACTCTGCAGGTTGAAGGAGTTTTAAGTCCTGTAGGTATTTAAAAAACAAGAACAGCCCGGCCGGTGTGGTCAGTGGTTCAGTGTTGACCTCTGAACCAGGAGGTCAGGGTTCAATTCCTGGTCAGGGCACGTGTCTGAGTTGTGGGCTCAGTCCTCAGTGGTGGGTGTGCAGGAGGCAGCTGATGAACGATTCCCTCTCATCATTGATGTTTCTATATCTCTCTCTCTCTCCCTTTCTCTCTCTGAAATTAATAAAATATATATAT